ATTAACGCTGTTGATATTAAGTGGAGAGAAATAAAGACATGTAATATATGAGATATGTTACTTCATATATAGCATGCTTTGTGCTACTTACCAATTCTTCTCATATGTAAACTTAAGAATATTTTATTATTTAAACTGTATGAGAATATTTCTTTTTTACAAATACGAAAGTCATGTTTAGTCCCGTAGAAACACTAGATAATTAAACAAGTGCAAGGAGTATTTATTTTCTAATGGTATTGCGTTTATCTATGTTCGAATTGGATTTTCGGCATTAAGGTAGAGTCTATTGCTAGATACCTAGCTAGAAACTAGCAGCCATATTTTCTGAGTGTTACCTAGTAACATGATATCGCTGATGAACTATTGATCAAATTTGACTTACATATGAGAAGAATTGGTAAGTAGCACAAAGCATGCTATATATGAAGTAACCTATCTCGTATATTACATGTCTTTATTTCTCTCCACTTAATATCAACAGCGTTAATAGCAACGCTAAATATTTTGTGCGACATCACACTAGGTTATTTCAACAATAAAGGAATGACGATAACTCACTCAAGCAAATTAGTAAAGTAATAGATATACAAACACGATATGCACAGTTTCAGTCAAATCTGTAAGGTGCTAGCAAAAATGAGTTTTTACTTCGACTCAATATGAATTAGCTAGGAAATAACGAAAAATACACTATTTTGCTAGAAGAACGTAGCGGCAATAACTTTTTCTCTTAACTTAAAAAATAAAGGACAATGTATGGTATTATTACTATATACATATTTAACAAAGGTACCAGTACAACTGAATATGCCATTTAAAGTATTCAACACACATTATACATTAACAGCGAAAGGTGTTAATTTCTTTCAAAAATTACCAAAACCAGAAGCATTATTAAAAAAACCTGATTATTTATATGAATATTACAAATGAAATGACAGTGACATCAATAAAAAAATTTCGATTATTTTTGGAAAGTATTATAGCAATTAAAAATAATATATTGAAAGACTATGATGATATACCAGCCACATTTTCTCATTACGATAAAGATCAAAATTATATTAAATTATTAGATAAAGCACGTGGATGTGCTGCTAAATGTAAGTTAGAAATGACTTTTTGATTTAATATTCAATTTACTCTTTCTGAAGGCATAATTGCCAATCTTCATTTTTTTCCGTGTTAATAGGTTCATGCTGTTTACGTTCGTGTGATGCTGACCATAGTCTAGTGGAATCAAATCCTGGTATGTGTGCTTTTTTGTTGCGATATCTCCTACTCGAAACGATCGGCTGCCGGTTTTTTATGTCATTAGATGACGGGGTTTGAGTCTTTGTAACGTAACCATAATGTAATCTTTGCGAGCAATTTAAGGTTGATTTTCTAGCTTGATTTGTATTCTCTATGCCATTATCAGTGGACGTTCATAGAAACTTAGTCGACATCTCATTTTGTAGAAAATCGAATGGGCTATATAATGATGTAATCGCAAATGTTGAACAGTAAATCATAAGGACACTATGTACACCATTTTTCTTGATTGCAGTATATACAGTCTTGACCGATCTTTCATTAAAGGACAAACTCATGGTTACGTTAGGGACTATAGTCAGTAAACAAGCATGACGTTGTGCCAAACTCACTGGAAAGCGATGAAAAATGGCTTGTTTTTAACTGTGAGAGTAAAATACCAATAACTTTGTTCTATAAAGCTAGAGACCTATGGTTTTCACCGCCCGATTTGACATGAGTTGCCTGATTCGAGTTCGAATATAAATCGACCTCAACTGCTTACTATCACTTCGAAAATAAATGGTTGGACATAACTATATATATATACATAGGTAGGATTATATCTTGTAGATGC